TTTGGGGTTTGGGGGGGGGGGGGGGTCGGTTTTAAGGATTCTTTAAAGAGCTACGGCTCTTTCAAGGGTTTCTATACGAGTTCCATAAGATAGGAGCCGTCATATTTAGAAGAGGGTTTTAGAGTATACTCTGCTACCTGTATAGCTTTGGATGTGGAGGTTCCAATTAATGGATTCATGTTTGGGGGGTGCAAGGTTGAGAAGTTAGGGGTTTTCCTTAAGAAAAACACAGTAGCAGCAAACAGTCCCAAGTCCAAGGCCCCTAAAAATTTCAGAAAGAACTGTTGTGAGGTGTAACTTTTCAGGNNGCTTGAGTTGTAGCGAATTCGGGCATTGGCAAAAATTTCGAACGAAGGCATCCTTAACTCCAAAAGCCTGAGATCGAAAGTTTGCCTGGGACCCGAAACAGCTGGAACCCTCCTGCGGGGAACTGCCTCCAGCGGGAGCCATGCTTCCAAGGATGGGACCCAAACAGGCATTTGCCTTGAGCCCCGACGCAAAAAGCAGGCAAAGTCATGTAGTGGGCAAGCCAATAATTACCAAGTCCCATGATCCCCTAATTAAGCAAAACCCAAAACCCCGAAACCCCAAACCCTAAAGGCACCACATGGAACGATGAGGACATGATCGTGGAGGCTAGGAAGCGGGGCGGTCATACTTCGAGTACTGAGACTAGAGTTTCGGAGCATGATATGACACTATTATTGTTGTACGGGGACACCAAGGGTACACTATGACTACCTCTAGAGGAAGCACAATCATCGGGAGTAGCCTTGATACCTAACCCCAAAACTTAAAACCGAATGATTCGCATCACAAGAAACATCGGCTTCGGCATTTTGCGGGATAGAGGAAACGGGGTTTATGATTTATGTCGGAAATCAGGGTCTTGGGCTTGTGCTTTGTAGGTTCTGAATATAGCGAGCTTTTTGTTTGGTTAGGGTTCTTTTTATGGGTGGGATACTCTCTACCCATAGGCCCCTAAATAACTACTTAGGGGCCTATGGGTAGGGACTGCAAGGGAATCTTAATACCAGCACCAGCTGTCCCGACCTCCGAATTGCTGGTGAGCCATTTTCCGAAGTCCCTTCGTGAGCAGGGGCTTCCCTTGAGCGCACTTTGTCACTGATGCTTAAGCCCTTGATCTCGCGGACACCGCAAGGCAAGAAACGATTGGATACGAATTCACAATCCACGTAGCCCCCATCTGTGTCGTCGGTCGCATGAGGTCCACAGATGCTGCGCAACGTAGATAGAACTTCATCTGCCTCTCCTGGGGTTGCAACGGTACAGCCCAGAAAAGCAGGGTCGGGAAACTTCGTCAGCTGGAGGACCGTACCATCATGGACGAGGCGGCGCATACTGGACTGAACCTCCGAGCAGGCACCCCACTCTGGGGCATAGGCGCGCAGGCCCACTACATCGCAGGCCGCGGCCACACCACCCCAAAGATCCAGATCGCACACGTGGCCGCAAGCAGCCCCTTCTATGTCGTAGTGCTCCTTCGCTGCTTTCAGTGCATCCGTAAGGGACTCCATGTCATAGCCATGCTTTGACATGGAAACTTTCATGTCCAGAAGCGGCAGCTGCACGGATCTGGCGAAGGCTGCGGCCCGGCCCCCATCATTCACAGAGCCCACCACACAAGAAATCTCACAGCGCCAACTTGTCAAGAGGCAGTACACCTGAATGCTGTGATACCCACTGGTCAGCAGCAGCGCTACTGGAGAGTGGGATGCGCCGGGCACGGACATGACGAAATCTGCCTGATGAAACGGATTGCCTTCTCCCGCCACCTGGTCCCTCCGTTTAGCCGCATCGTTTGCCAAGATCCTGGGTTCTTCTTAACGAACTTGACGTAAGTTACCATAACCAGGAAACTCTTTACTACCCATAGGCTCCTTAGTAGTTCCTTTTGGGGATTGTCTTATCGGATTTTAAACATGAGCCACACAAAGGAACTACTTAGGAGCCTATGGGTACTATAGATCCCTATTATGGTGATCTTTAGATTCCGATGATTTACTCTAGGAGCCCAGGATCTTCAGAGCGTTGTAGACCCGGGAGCCGTACTGCGCGGCACGCTTCCGCCGGTCGGTGATGATCCTCGGCGCCCCAAGGGACCGAGCAACGGCCCTCAGAGCCCCCTTCCTCGGTTCTTAAAAAAAAAGAAGGAGCTTATAGTTCAAGTTACCAGTTACCATAATAAGTATAAGAAAACCGTATCAATTTCATATATAGATCCTTAAAGATGGTCACTTTAAATCGGAAGTTCGATAGCAAGCGCCCAGCTTCCCACCATCCGCTACCAGCTCACTCTGGGCGCAGCCCTCTCTCTGGGCGGCGTCCCGGCAGCTGAGGCCCGCTGGCGGAGGCTCTGCAGCCGGCAGGTGCAGGGCTACATCCAGGAGGTCGGCGTCCAAAAATGGGTAACCTTGCAGAGGGCTTTGGGGTTTAGGGTTTAGGGTTTAGGGGGCTCTTGAGGAATCCAAACCCCCAAAAGCCCAAAGGGAAAGCTTGCAGAGGCCTTTTTAAATCCTAAACCCGAGATAAATAAATATATGTATATATATATATATATTTATGTGACCAACAAGCCCGAAACCCTGACCCAAAGAAGTTCTCGGGCACTGTACTAGCTCCTCGATGTGCCCTGTGTATGGGAAAGGAACCACGAACAGCGCACTCTGCTTGTTGTCGCCGCTGCTTCTTTAAACTTTAAACTCTGCGTTCAAGCCCAAATCGCACCCTACAAACTCATATGATTTCCGCTCTAAGCGCCCAACCGTCCAAGCCCTTAACACCCGTAGACAAGCATAACAAACCCAACTACTAAACCTCCTCGGAGCCTTAAACCCGTTCCAAACCCCTAGCCAACTTTAACAGACCCTACGGAACTAAACCTTTTCCATCTACGCCTTCAAGCCCTTCAAAACCGATAGTTACCCATAGGCTCCATCGTAGTTCCTTTCTGTGGCTCATATTTAGGATCCTATAAGATAATCCCCAAAAAAGGAACCACAATGGAGCCTAGGGGTAAGTAGACCCTGAAACTCTGCACCCTTAAAGAACTGAGCAGCGAATCTCCACGCCCGCCAAGGACGCGAGGATGAAGTCGCGCTGCAGATCGCGGTGCCACATCTGCGCCAAGCCCAGGGTGCGATCCCGGGAGGTTGCCTTCAGGGTTTTGTTGGCTTCAGGGCTTAAAGGGTTCAGGGTTTAGGGTCTCATAGGGTTTAGAGTTTGGGTGGTTCAGGGCTTCAGGGCTTAAAGGGTTTAGGGTTTAGGGTCTCATAGGGTTTAGGGTTTGGGTTCAAGGCTTCAGGGCTTAAAGGGTTTAGGGTTTAGCGTTCTCATAGGGTTTAGAGTTTGGGTGGTTCAGGGCTTCAGGTCTTGAAGGGTTTAGGGTTTAGCGTTCTGACAGTGTTTAGGGTTTGGGATGGGGGGTTTAGGGTTTACGGTCGAAGGGCGACAAGGGCCAATTGAGGGGCCTTGACAAGTCTAAACATGGTTTGGAGTGTATTAATGAATACTGTCGTGGTTTCAAGGTATCTTAGGGGTTGCATAATTACAATAGGATTTGGCAACGTGTGTGCGTATATATATGTATATATAATATATAACTATATATGTATACGATAATGAACTATAGTAACTGTAATATTAATAGTATAGGGAGTACAAGGGTAGGCCGGAGAACAATTAAACAGTTGGCTCGGTAGACGAAAGATACGTTGTAAAAAAATCTTCGCTTCTCGCGGTAGACGTGGACCGACCCAGAGCCCCTAAACCCTGAACCCCAGGTAAGGTGTACTTCATGGGGATCCTACGGACTGACAATTCGGGGGAGGTTTCGGGATACCGGTCTATACTATATGCTCGGGGAGAGCCCCTAAACCCCTAAGCCCCTTGCAAGCCCTAAACCCCAAGCCAAAAACCCTCAGCCCCTAACACAATCGAACCCCTCACTGTAAACCCTAAACCCCCTCTAACCCCTAAACCCGGCCCGGAGCTCAAAACCCCGAAACCCAAAGCGCCCGAAACCCCGGAACCTCCAGACTCCAAACCAAAATAAAGCTCTGGAAGGAACCGAACCCTCAAAAGGAATCCTTGTAGCACCCTTTCATACAGAATCCCGCGCAGCTCAAAGCCTAAACCTTAAACCTAAACCCTGAACCTTATACCTTAAATCCTAAACCCTGAACCGTGAACCCTAAACCCTAAACCCTGAACCTTATAAACCCTAAACCCTAAACCCCTAAACCTTAAAAAAACGCAAGGCCTCGTCCCCGGCTACGCAGGCCCTGGCGTGGCGCTGGTAGCCGGCGAAGGCCTCCTCGGAACCCAGGCCGCTAAGCACCACGCGCAGCCCGTCCTCACTTGGTTTCGCCGTGTTTTTCCTTTCAGTGGTTTAGGCTTTAGGGTCTAGGGTTCTAGGGTTGAGGGTTTCGGGTTTAGGGGTTTTAGGAGTTCGGGGCTTTGGGGTTTAGGGTTTGGGGGCTTAGGGTTTGGGGTTTAGGGTTCTGCTCCGATTTAGGCTTTAGAGGGTTTAGGGGTTCAGCTAGGGCTTGGGGATTCTTGGCCTCTAGAGTCTTCTTTATGGTTTAAGAAGGCTCTTGTTGATGACCACGTTTCGAAGGCTTTAAAGGGCCCCGAGTGTCGGGGTTGGAGGGTTTTGCAGCACAGGGCTTGGGGTTTCGGGTTCGTTTTAAAACAACCTACCGTTGCCGGGGGCTTAAGATCCCATGTAAAAGGGAGCATGTCAGTTTTGGAGCTACAACGTTCGGGAGCTACAACCCTAGATGAATCCTAGGCACTATAGACCCTAAATCCTAGACCCTCAACCCTGAACACAACACTATTATAAACCCTATACGGGTAGCTTTCTGAATTAGGCTCCCTTGTAGGGCCCGTTTCATAGGGGTGCCGTACTATGTTGGGGACCTAAAAGGGGCCCTAATTTAGACAACTACTCCTATACACCCTACAGGTGTACCCTGAGGATTGCCTGAAGCCTCAACATCCGAACAAATCCTATAACCAAGGCCCTTTTTTTGACTCCACATCCTCAGCTCCCTTATAGCTAGAATAGGGTTTCTGGGTGTACAATACTACAACGTACTATAACAAGCACGCCCCTAAACCCCAAAACATTAGACCCTAAACCCTAAACCCTAACCCGCTTGTTCAGGCTTCTGCCTCGGTTCCTCAAGCTTTCTGAACCCGACAGAGACCTGAACAGCTGCATCGAAGCTAAACCAAAACCTACGCTCCTAGGCCCTGTTTAGGGCTTATAAGCTCTCGGGTTTAGGGTTGGTAGGGCTTTCAAAACAGAGCCTGACACCACTTCGAGACATTTTTGAACCCCCCTTGCATGTCTTTTTCCAATCCCGAGCCTCTGACCTGCAATGTGCGACTTAGGGTTTAGGGTTTAGGGTTTACAGTTTAGGGCTTAGGGCTTAGGGATTAAAGTTTGGGGCTTAGGGGGTGTAGGGCTTAAAGTTTAGGGTTTAGGGTTTAAAGTTTAGGGCTTAGGGTTCAGAGATTAAAGTTTAGGGTTTAGGGCTTAAGGTTTAAAGTTTAGGGTTTAGGGTAGTTCTTTAGCAGACAACTGTCCTACAATGTCAGGTCTAGGTGAACCCAGCCTTTTCCGACCACATGAGCATGGCGGATCTCAGAATCAAGAGGTTCTGCGAGACCCCTAGATGGGCCCTGTGTACACAAAGCCCTGAACACTTGAACCCTAAATGCCAAACCCCAAACCCCTGAAGCTCCAAAACATGTGTCTAAACCCTAAACCACACATCCTAAACAATGAACCCTAAATCCCAAGCCCTAAACCCCTGCAATGTGTCACCCCTAAACCCGAATCTCCGCAAGGAAAGGTCCTGCGATGCGAGGCGACAGGCAGCCAACATGGTCATTCCGACAGAGGCTTTCACTGAGTTCCAATCCTTAAGCTGGGACGGGTAGTAGGGCCCTTGACAGCTTGCGGTTGGGAGGACCATTGCTCTTATTTTCTTGCTTTTATTCATTGCTATCAGTATTAATGTTGGTATTACTCTTGCTAGTAATGTTATCCTTCTTCTTCTTCTTACTACTACTACTACTACTACTACGACGACGACGACGACGACGACTAGGTTGGGAGGTGAGGGTCGGTTGTTTGCGAATCAGAATACATACATGCACTCGTACATGCAGCCGGTATCCGAGCTGCCTTTTGCGGATATCCTGGTTGCTTGGCGTACCACGGAACTAATGAGAATGACAATCAGAACACAAACGCCAAAACCCCTAAACCCTAAAGCCCTTCTAGCAACCCGTCAAACCCTTAAAACGCCCAGATTCAGCCACCAAAGGTGCAGAATCTAACAAGAGCTGCTGCGCCTGCAGGAGGAGTGGATAAGCTGGTTGGTGGGGGCTTTCACTGCGTCTTTAGAAGGTTTTGCAGGGTTTTACAAGTGTCTTATAAGGGCTGTTAAGAAAGCGGATTTATGATGGTTCGGTTCTCAGGAGTTTCATGGCTCATGGGCGTTAAGGGTAGACCCATTCCGGCCAACTACCCTCGATTATACCGCAAATACGCCCTGTGAAGAACCATAAGGCATAAGGACTCTCTTAAACGACAGCGGGGGGGGGGGGGGGCCGTAAAATCAATTAAAGAGTGAGGGCAAAGGGAAGGTCCGCCTCGTTTAGGGCGTGAACTGCAGAGTTTGGGGTTGGAAATAAGTTCGAGGGAAGATGGCCCAAATAATCACCGGGGATCCATTCCACCACAAACCGTATTGGCTCCTACTCCGCAGATACCTAAACTAAACCGCAAATTCCTAAAATCAGGCCACCACAGGCGCGCACACACACACACAGCTGTAGATATATACATATATATATATGTATGTATATATAATATACACACAGACATACACCAGTTGGGAACAGTATTAGAGGCCCTAAACACCTATAGACCCCGTAAATAAACCCCTGAACCGCTAAACCCGTAGACCCTAAATGCAAGCCGCTACAAGCTGCTTCTAAACACCCTGCGAAGTTTCGTGGCCATGCTTGACATCCATGGTTCGGGGCTTGAGGGCACCGCCAAATCCTGAACCTCAACGAAGCCCATGTTTGGGTTCAGGGTTTTCGGTAGGAAGCCCCACCTTCGGGTTGTTGGGGATCAGTAGGGTGGCACAGGGTGTAGTAGCGTTTACCCAAAGGCTCCATGGTGGTTCCTTTTTTGTGGCTCATGTATTTAGGATCCTACTAACATAATCCCAAAAAGGAACCACAATGGAGCCTATGGTTATTCATATGTCTGTAAGGGCGGTTGTTTTTCTATGTCGGGGTTCACTCGATTCATGAAGGCTTCGGGGTGAGCGGCATAAGCCTTCGACATCCACTGAAAAAGCCGGTTTAGGGTTTAGGGTTTAGGCCTCAAGCCTTCCTTTGAAGCCTTGCCGGCCTCAGTCAGGTCCATGACGTGATGCTTCCATTCCAAGTTCATCTCTCTGGCAGCTGCTTCCGCCACAAGCAAGTCTTCTGGGTAGGCGTACTTGTTCTTGATCTTCTTATCCTCGAGATGAAACCTGTCCAAAGTCATGTTGGTCTCTGGAGGGCTCCCATTTGTCGAGATCCAGATCTTTACCTGCAACTATATCGTATTCCCATCATCGGCTCCATGGTGGTTCCATTTTGGGATTAGCTTATAGGATCCTAAATATGAACCACAAAAAGGAACTACCCTGGAGCCTATGGGTATCTGTAACCATATCGATCTTTGTATCTACATGAAGAGATAGTCAGGGCAGGGGGTCTTCCTCATGTAGCCCTAAATCGCCTACCTTTTCAAGGACTCATACTTCTAAGGACAGCAGGACGGCATACTAAGGAACCCTGAAGAAGTGGGGTTCACACGGTCCAGTTTGGGTGTAGTGCCTAACCATACCGGAAGCATGGTCGAACACATTTCGTCAACATACGTTGCGCTTGCAAAGGATATCACCATGACCCCAACAGATTTCCCCGTGTTGACTCTCGATAGTGAACAGTAAAGTCTACAAGGGAAACATTCCGGGAATCTGGGAATGCGGCGACAAGAAGTTGACCAAATCCCCATAGATCTTCCATTCTAGAAACTTGGAAACCCTTATCAGTTCTCCACATTCCTCAAACCCTTACAGTTCTCTCTCTCTCTCTCTCTCTCGCTCTGTCTCTGTATTCCCCATTATTTTGCTACCTCTAAGCGATAGCAAGAAGGGAGATGAGCCTTTGCAAATTTACATTGCAACACATGAAGTCGGACCAGGGAAAGGGAAGGGCGGCAGGAAAGCGGTGGGTTTGCTCATGAGCATGAGTACGAGGGGCAATCCTCTTGCATCAGTCGGCTCGTCTGGACCAGCAAACCAAGGCAAGAAGGCGTGACTTAAGACATTTGTTATGGTCATGTCTGAACGGGGACACACCCTTGGCAGAGCTCTCTTCTCGAGGCGAGGAAGGCACCGAAGAGGGGGTCAGAGATGCAGGATCAAGATTAATCATAACGGTGGGTTTAGGGCCTTTAGGGTTTAGGGTTTGGGGAAATGCCATAATGTGTCTTCTGGATACTGAACTTAACTGCTCAGAAACAGGGAGCTGCACCCTTCCAGAAAACTTTCAATGTGAGCCTTACGGGCCTTACTCATGATCAGTTTGCATCAAAGGTCCCGGGACATATTCATAAGGGCCACAAGGCTGCTGAACTTTGGGGTTATGGGCGTTTTGGGCTTCGGGCTTCAGGATCCGCAGATCCGACTTAAGTTCCATCCCAGGAGCCCCACGGTGTAGCAGGTACATTGGCACCTCGGCCGCGGGGTGGTCCGCGTGCTTCGAAGCCGAGTGCGGGGTTTAAGGATTCAGGGCCTAGGTTGGGTCCTCATCATTCCTTCCATAAGTGCTTTCCGAGGCCCCCAGGCTTGTACACTCAGTTCTAAAAGGGATCATATCATCCCCAAAAGTTTAAAGTGTATTGATTCAGCTACTAAGCTTCCATAAGGGCTTTCCGAGGCCCCAGGCTTGTTAGTTTAGGAAAAGGAGTCAGCACTGAATCAAGGCTTCTTCTCTTTCTCCAGCGCACAGAAACCCCCACTAGAAAGGTGCTCAGGGTTCAAGTGAAGTAAGGATTCATGGTCTATGTGCCGGAGAGGGCATCTAAATCTAAGCCTTCAACGCAGTTGAGGGTTTAGAGGGTCTAGGGCTTCGGGCCCCATGAGAAATGCTTGTGCATAAGATTGCTCAAGCAATCGCCCTGCGGATCTGAACTCTTGGGCGCTACAAGCCTTCAACCCATCGGACATTTGTGTAGCTCTCTGAAGCAGGGCCCCTTTTTGAATTCGGGTCTCCCATATAGTCCACAGTACGGCACCCTTCTCAACAGGACCTGAAAAGGGACCCTAATTTAAGGGAGCTACCCAGCTCTCGTGAGTTTAGAAAAGTTCTGCCACGGCCCCAGCAACCCTCTGCATGCGCTCCTCTGAGAGGGCCTTTCAAAAAGAAGATACTTAACTATAGCAGTAGTAGTCATACTGCTATCAACTAATCGAAATAGTAAAACACAGCCACCACTTGAGCCGAGTGTGCTGAAAAG